ATATTCTCTTGTGCCTGTCATTTTCAGGTACTGAAGTTCTGAAGGGATCTCATAACTCTTCCAAATCACTTTAGGAGACTCTTTAGTACATGGACCCTAGAGGTTGAGAGGCCATTTAGGACCTGAGGAAATTGTTTCTTCCTATGTGCCTCATTAACCTTCAATAATTATTGCTTTAGGTAACTGAAAGAATGGAATCCTTGGAATAGATGTATAGTGCATGGTGCTTGCCACCAAGTAGAGACTCAGTAATAATCTGCTGAATGTCGAATGAGTGTATATCATCTTGGGGCAACTTTCATGTTCTCCTTATTTTTTTCAATTTTAATTTTTAAAAAATATGTTAACCTCTTATTAATTTTGGTTATACATTTCTGATAGCATTTAATTACTATTACATGAAGTAATCTTAAATGTAATGTTAACTAACTTCTCATAAATATATTCTATGATATGGAGAAGTATGTTAATAATTTTGGGAATTAAAGCTTATTTGGAAATTTTTGTAATGCCCCATCATGACATGCCTGGATGATTGCAGCTGACTTATCATCCTAGAGTTGTACTTTGCCCCATTTGAATTTTCTTAAATAGTTAATGTAACATTTTGGGTAGAGATATACATACATGCATATATAAGCATGCAAATATGCAGACATATACATATACGCATGCACAAACAGTTATGCTTGTGTATGAATAGACTGAATGTGGAGACTAAGAAACAGTAGTTGCTTCAAGAGTCAGACTGGGGGAACTGGTTCTGCACTTGTTTTTTACACAGAACAGTATGTGTGTATATATATATTTAAATTCCTTTTTTTATTGTGCTCGAATACACATAAAATTTACCATTAGTAACTTTAAGTTCTAATTCACAGTGTACTGTGTATATTTAATACATTCACAGTGTTGTACAGCCATCACGACTATCTAATTTCCAGAACATTTCATTACTATGCTAATAAGTGGGGAAGTTCAGATTTGAACTAGCTAGTCTCATTCTGAAGCCCTCAATTCTAACCCTTTTACTATACTATGCAATATATAGGATAGTGACAATGTCTTGTTCACTGTTGATTTCTTAGTGCCTAACACAACTACCTGTGACATGAACAGGACTTTAGTAGGGTTTTATTGAATTAATTATTAATGAATGAACTTTTATTATGATCCTTAACCTTGTAATTTATACCATAGCTTTACATAATCATGCTTAAGGTTCTTCCTAATTCTCTTTATAAATGTATAATCTTCTTCCCCTTATTAAATCACCAACTTCTAAGGGAAGACTTGAAAAGGAAGAGTCAGATAAAAATTATGAGTGCCTTCCAGGTACAAAGAACTTAGTTACCTGTGGGGCAGTGCTTACCAAACCTGGCTATGCATCAGAATTATCTGAGGGGTTGCACTCCTGGGAGCTATTTCCTCTTATCTATTTACATTAAATCTCTGAACGGGGGATAATCCACATTTTTATCCTTAAGTACCCAGCCTAGCATTTAAGAACTGCTACAGGGGATTGATAGAAACGGAAGACTCTACTTGGTCAGAAGCAGCTTAAAGTTTAGATGAAAAGACACACACAAGATGTAAACAGTAATGCATGACCAGAAAGTAAGGAAGAAGTATGTGATTAATTGCCAAGAGAATGGTTCAGATAGTGAAGACTCTTGGAGTTGAGTGGAGACAGAATACTTTTAGCCAAGTAAGATTGAGATAGATGCTGCATCTTTTGGGATTGGGGAAATTTGGACTGGCAGAAAGGTGGGGGAAATGTACCAATTGCTAAGTGATGAGATCTTAGAGGGAGAAAGATGAGTAAGGCACAAACAATCCTGGCTCTCACAGAGCTCATAGTGTTAGATCCAGAGCCAAGAGAGAGAGAGAGAGAGAGAGAGAGACAGAGAGACAGAGAGAGAGAGACACATGAAGGCTCATGTGTTCTGGCGTCATCCTTATCAGGAGAGCTAGGGAGGGATAAACTTTGTTTCTATCGGGGAGGGAGGGGGAAAGGAATGCCGGCTGCAGCTGTCTGTTAGACAAATTCCAGGGACTCTCCAAACTCCTGCGGCTATTGTTTTACAAGCCTAAGTTTTACATTAACTACATTCGGTCCTACACATACTTTTCGGGTTCCCACTTGGAACAAACCTAACACATAGTATGTCTGATGTAGTAGACAGTTAAGCAGCTATTTATCAAACATGGCAAGTGCAGTGAGAAACATTACAGATGGAAAGACTTTGAGCAAAAGCCAGTATCAAGAAAATGAGAAAAATATCCTAGGGAATGAATATAGACCAGTTCAGCTTGAGCCACAGGTTTATGTCGGAGAATATTAAGACATACTGGCTTCTAAACTCAAAGGAAGAGATTAAAAGGCTTGGGAGCTTGGTAAGAATATTTTATGGAGTAGGAAGCCTTTCTTGTACTTTTGAAATCATATTAGACATCTACTACTCTGATTACTCCCAAGTGAAACTTGAGGGTGAGGGCATTTCTATCATTCAAAGTAGAGGAAGCTAAAGGAGGAAAAGAAAAGAAAAATAAGCAAGATAGCTTGGGGTCCAAATTGTAGAGTTGTAAATTAAACTGTTTGCTGATATTTAATAATATGGACAGGCCACCTAACCTCTCCAGGTAACCATTTCCTATCTTTATGAGGATGTAGGACTAAGTTCCTAAGTGTGGCATAGTGTTTAATAGCACTCTGAAGCCAAACTGCATGGGCTTAAATTCTGGCTCTTATCTGAACCAGCTCTATGACTTTGAGTAAGTTACTTAACTTCTCTGTGCCTCAGATTCCTTACCTGTAAAATGGGGATGATATCCCATTTTGTATTGTGGATTACATTAAGTGAGTAAATATATGGAAAGCACTCAGAAGAGTACCTGGCACACAGGGATATGGAAGTGTTAACTGTATCCCTTCCAGTTCTCATGTATTCCAAGTCTTGAGGTTTTGACTCATCACCAGCTATTCACTCTGAACTCTGGAACACAGGAATTACTTAAGAGGACTCATGAAGAACCATAATTAAAACCCCGAACTCAGTTTTTAGATCTACCATCACCACAACTGTGTCATAATATCAACTAAAATTGGATAATGCATTTCTCAGTGGACACATTGTACAGGTGTTTCTTTCTGAAACTTGTATAGAAAGATGGCCTTAGAGGCTTAATTAAGAATACAGACCCAGGCACAGTGGCACACACCTGTAGTCCCAGCTACTTGGGAGGCTGAGTCCAGCCTGGGCAACATAGTCAGACCCCATCTCTTAAAAACAACAATAAAAAAAAACAACAAATACACACACACACACACACACACACACACACACACATACACACACATACATATATACATACACACACACCATGGAATCTACTCACTGTCTCCCTGGGATGCTAAAGTTCATTCATTAATGTTGACTGGATTGATGCCATTCTAGTTAACTTTACTGTTTTTTTTTTGTTTCTGATGCAGATAACATCTGGCCACTGTTTTGGCATGTACTTACTTACAGTAACACACTGTGAGGTAGAGAGTCATATAGTTGTAAATAGCATACATGTGCTTGAGGATCAGAGGAGTGAATGCCAGAGAGGAGCTTTTCCTAAGTCATAACAATTGCTTGCCTGTAAGTCCAACTGAAAGAAGTTACCCAAGGACAGCTGGGCTTTAGCATAAGAAAAACTCAGTTAAAAATGAGCCAAGGGGCCGGGCGCTGTGGCTCACGCCTGTAATCCTAGCACTCTGGGAGGCCGAGGCGGGCGGATTGTTTGAGCTCAGAAGTTCGAGACCAGCCTGAGCAAGAGCGAGACCCCATCTCTACTAAAAATAGAAAGAAATTAGCCGAACAACTAAAAATAGAAAAAATTACCCAGGCAGGGTGGCACGTGCCTGTAGTCCCAGCTACTCGGGAGGCTGAGGCAGGAGGATTGCTTGAGCCCAGGAGTCTGAGGTTGCTGTGAGCTAGGCTGACGCCATGGCACTCACTCTAGCCCAGGCAACACAGTGAGACTCTGTCTCAAAAAAAAAAAAAAAAAAATGAGCCAAGGTATTTTTTTCACTTAGACATTTTCAAGCCAGATTTTTCCTCTTTGGAGTAGAACCCTTAATAAAACAGATTTTTTTAAAGCAGCACTACTCTGCTTAGAGAGTCCAAAGTAATTGGCCTGGAGTTGTGCTTACCAGCCTTCTTCCTACTTCTTCCCACTCTTCCCAGATGGCCTCTGAGTCACTTTCAAGGACCCTAGGACCCTAAACTCACGGTTTAGAAATCAGTGGTGTAATTGATTGTAGGTTCATTTTACCTATATTATTTTTTTCCCTTAGAAAGTGTGAAGTACAGCTGGGCACAGTGGCTCATGCCTGTAATCCTAGCACTTTGGGAGGCTAAGGTGGGAGGATCACTTGAGACCAGGAGTTTGAGACCAGCCTGAATAACATAGAGAGACCCCTATCTCTACAAAAATTTTTTTTTAAAAAATTAGCCAGGCATGGTGGTGGTTGCCTATAGTCCCAGCTACTTGGGAGGCTGAGGAAGGAGGATTGCTTGGGCCCGGGAGTTTCAGGTTGCAGTGAGCTGTGATGATGCCACTCTACTCTAGCCTGGATGACAGGGCAAGACCCTGTCTAAAAACAAAATAAATAAAAAATTGTGAATTACATTAAAAAATTCAATTTGGGGGGGGTGGTAAAAAAACAAAGAAAAAAAAACCTCAATTTTTGTTTATAGGTTCTGGTTCCTGTAATTTATTTTATCTTTATTGCTATCTTTCCCCCTTAGGATATACTCTTGGACTTCACTCTCTTTCTAAAGGCAAATCTCAGCAATTTTTGTATACTTTTGTGCATATAGAATTGATCTGGGGGGCAAGTATGCCTAAAAAACCTCTCTTCTTCTAGAAAAGGAAAACCTTTATATCAAGAACTAGAACTTGATTAAAGCCTGTATCTTGAGCTCAGACTGTTTCTTTTTATTCATTAGATTTGTCTGCCTCTGCTCATTCCAAGGTGGTGATCTTCACAGTCAACTCTTTGGGTAGTTCTCAGTCCTATCTTGATGTGGTGCAGAGCAATGTGGATATGTTCAGAGCCCTTGTCCCAGTTCTGGGACATTATAGTCAACACAGTGTCCTGCTAGTTGCATCTCAACCAGGTAAAAGGCTTTATTTTAAATTGATTTGATGGTCTGGTGCATCAGTAGAATTGTCATTATTGATAAAAGCCATAAAACTAGATTATAAAGGGACGGCTAGAATATTCAGTAAAATTGCCCTTATAATGAACAATGTAGTATCTCCATATCCTCTCAACCAGTTACTTCTTATGACTGGCATTAACTAGAAGTTATAACTTAAAATTTTTTATGAAATGTGATATTATGTTCCAGGTTGTTAGCCATATCTTCCTCAGTGAGAAAATATTTAAACCCCTAAGAGAAAAATGCAATGTCTTATATGAAATATATTTTGTTAACTCTGAAGTATCATAAAATGTTAGTGAGCATGCCAGGGCACATTTTTAACATTTTGTAATTTGCAAATTGTTTTGGAACTGTTTTACTCTAAAAAGAAATATTTTCAAAGAGTTAGTTGGTACTGAACTCAAATTGTAAACAGATTTTTTTTAAATGTTTCCAATATAGGGGTATGGTATGCATTTCATTTGTTTTTTTCTGTAGTAATTAGTTGAGGAACATTGGTCTCTTTAATTCCTAATATTCTTTTGG